ATTGTTCCAATCTGTACAGGAACAGTGCCCTTGTAAAGCCTGCCATAACTAGCTTCCACACGCATCAGAAATGTATCTTGAAATACATTATCTGTAACCTCAGCAGAGGCACGCAAATCTAGCTTGTCAAGGTATATTAAAATTTGAATTATATAATGGTTCAAGTCTTCCCATTTTTTGATGCCTGAATCGATGATGTGGATATCATTATTATCTACATCTACATATGACATCAATATAAGCCAGCTTCGTACATCGCTAGCAATAGAAAAGTACGTATAATGTCGAGTATAATTATCCGTTGGTTGCCGATCTCTGGTAGTATAAAACAACGCCGTAGCTTCAGCCATTTGACCCAGAGCATGTTTGTAATCAGTTTGCAAGTCACTCTTGACTGCGAAAGAGAATGTTTGGGGATATGGAATTTCTGTTAACGACTTCAACAGAGGTCTGAGATTGTTAATGACGTCAGTTTGGCCAATATGTCCATCGACATAGACTTTACCAGATCTGCCGCCACGACGAGTATCATGTAAGACACTAAGATTAAATCCTTGACAAGCTTGATCTAAAATTGCGGCAACCACTGGCTGATAATCTTTTACTTCGTCAGTTTTCCCTTCTACCTGTGTTATAAAACTCTCGATATCATTCAGACCTATTCTTTCCAGTATAGCCCTGGAGGACGAACGTTCATCTGGTGTTAATAGTTCCGATAACCTTTTCTCAATCTGTTGAAGATCTTTTTCGAACTGGTCGGAGGTTTTTAAAAGAGAGTAAAACGCCGAAGAACTACGTGTATCGATGTGTCTCAAAATCAAGTCCAGGGTTTTTCTTACTGATAGAATAGTATTTGAAAGCAAAAAAGATTCAATTTATAAGCGAAGAAACATATTACTATGTCTACCCTACACTACTCTATGTCCCCAACGCCCGAGTCACAAAGTCGTTACCTGTCTGAGTAGCAGTGTATCTGTCCTGTAACAGACGCACCTGCCTTCTCGCCTCGCTAACCTCCTCATCCAGACGCTTCTCCTTCGCCGTGAGATCCTCCCATGCCTGATTCTCCACCTCGTCAAGTCCTTCTTTTCTCCGCCGCTTCCCTATTAACTCCTCCAGCCACTTCCCACCGTTCTCGTCCTCTTTCCACGCCTGTAACTCGTTCTCCGCCTTCTGCTCCTTCGCCTTCGCCTCCGCCAGCTCTCGTTCGATCCTTTCAACGCTTGCCAATTTTCGTTCGTTTTTTGTTTGGTTTTCGATGGAAGGATGTGCTGCGCGATATGATCTAATCTCGTAATATACTAGCGCTGATCAATGGCTTAATCAATGACGTAAGTATTACGTAAATCTTTCACGATTGTCCATTGCATGCAGAGTGACCAATGATAATTGATGCGCAGCAACGCGCATTTGTCTATTTAAGCATCATCGCAAGAGTTATTATAGAAGCAAGCACTAGTCGCTTACTTTCAGAAAAGCAACCACCACGTATTAAATATCGTTAAATAAGCAAAATATATCAACAAATATATCAAACAATTTCATCAATTACGCTTTGCGAAAAATGTTCACATTCACAGGCGAATTCTTCATTGGATCATTAATTGGCTTCGTTCTTGGTTTATTAGTAAATTGGCTAATCTGTAATAGCCAACTCAATCGTACTGGCGTAATATCTAAGACTGGAAAGTCAAGAAATTTGCGACTGATAACAAAACTGTCAGCAAACAACACTTACTCGCCAGAAGTCGAAACGTTGTGGAACGCTTTAAAACAATTATACGATAAGAGGACCGAATCGGATCCAAAATTTTCATTTAACAAAATGGCGTTTGAAATTTATAAATTACTTGAAGAAAAAGCTGTTGCAGCTTCCACAATCCGAAATTTTTACCTGCGAAGAACAACTCCGCGGAAAAAGACGATTGAGGCAACCCTCCAATGTTGGATTGACAAAGAGAATAAGAAAATTGTAAACGAAGACAAAAATATTAAAGGCATCGATAATTATGTGATTAATGATAGTAATAGCATAAAAGATAATGAAAGTTAAACTTTGCGCCAGAGTGACCAAAGAATAGGTTATACTCATCAATGGCTTTGGGGCCGAGTATTTTCCTCCCATGCAATCACTCTGGTGCATTTAGTCTATTTATATTTTCAAGAGCGCGCGATTCAATAATCGAAATAATAAAATTTATACTCACAAAAAATTGAATTATTTTTATATGTTTGACTTTTTGATTGTAATTGTGTTAAAAAGTGGCGAAATATGATCGAGCAGATCTTTCGTTGACAGGTTGCTTACGTTAACTTTATTTCCCTTACGTTTCTTCTAATTTTCGTTTCTTTCTTGGTTTATCATGTGTTGTGTTAATGCTCGTTTATTAGTTATGATTTTCCGTTCCTCTTGATAAATTTCATAAGTGATTTTTTCTTGATCTAGATATTGCTGGAGAGTTTGGGTATTATTGATTTTGAAAATGTAGGGAGCAATTTTTTCTCCTTGTTCTTTTTTTAAAATGCTCCTAATAGTGCTGTAATTTTTGGGTTCCATAGTAGATTTAATGTATATCAGTTTCATATATTTATTTTTATATAGAGGTAATCCTATATTGCTCCTGTTATGGTTTATATTCCTCACCTTCTGGTATGATAAAGTGAGCATTAAAATTAATAAGCCATGAGCACATTATTACTTTTCAAATGTCATCAGTCACCCTGATCAATTTTACAGCCACATCACAGTCAGCCCCTCATTTATAGAATGTTCACTTTGTCTGGTTTTGTTGCAGTCTGCCCCATATAATGGTTGTTGTAATTAGTGTTTTCAATCAAACATAAAATCAATTGAAGGTGGTTGAAAAGTCTTCTGAAAAAAGTGAAAACTGAGAGACTACTAATTCACAATGGGAAACTTGGTTTGGAAGGCAGCAGACTAAGACAATTTCTGGTAAACTTCCTGAATATGAAGTCACACAAAAATTGATCCAAGTCTTGAGACTGAAGGAGCTTCATGATAATAATAAATATCCACAAGCTATACTCAAGTAATAGTAAGGATATATTCACAATGAGGGTGAATGAAGCCCTTGAATTGGCTGATTAGATGGCAAGCTATTTGCCAATGATAAATGAGAATCTTCAACAAGCAAAAAAGTGGCTCAATATCACTGTGGCCTACAATATAATTGATTGTGGAAGGAAAAGTTTAGAAGATGGTTGTGATTCAACAAATGAAAATTTACATTTATGTATTAGTTAGTTGTTAGTGAGCCTTTTTAGTATTTCAATATAATAAATAGTAAAGTTATTCTTTATTTTTATTTAAGAACAATAACAGCATACACAATACTGTTACGGTCGGCGTCCACAGTAGGGTTGGGAGAGCAATTAATTGCGTAGGTGTGTTCTGCCGAGAGGGGGTTTTT